TCATCTTTATCATTCTGTAATGCAATTATGCGCTGTTGCAAGAATGCGTTATCTCTAATCAATTGCTTGTTACGTTCAACAAGCATCTCTCCCCCAGTCATCTGCGGCTCTTCCATTTTGTTTTGGGGTTTTAACAATAATCTTTATTCATCGTATCACTTATATAATATTTTTTAAACAAATAATATTGAAATAAATTTATATAAAATATTTTTATTTTTTATAATAAACTAATTTATTTTTTAACGTTACCATATTCAAATGGACCAACAGTTAAAGTATCCCCTTCAATTCTTTTTCTAATTTTGTTACTATTTTCATCTAATTTATAAAATTCTTCTTCTAATTTTTGATATGTACCTTTCTTTTGAAAATATTCACTTTTACAATAATTTGACGCAGCTTCAAAAGATCCTAAAGCGATTTCAAAATGAATATTTGTTGCGAATTTTAAAAGTTTTTATAGTTTTTTGTTCTCCGAGTCAGAAAAATTTTTTTGGCTCCAAATTTTTTATATTATAAGTATTTCCAACACCGTGCGTAACAACCGAAGGTTGTTACAAATGGCTTTACAGATGAACAAATCTCGAGTGCTGCGCCTCGAGATGCGTTTATTTGTACTTTCCACTATTACCATAGGGCTAAGAACAGAGAACAAATATATTATAAAAATAACTAATCTTGTATAATAACGCTCTTGGTTTGCATGCTAAATGTTATCTGTAGAGAAGTTCCACTAGCAAATACATTGACCTCTAGACAAACCACTATGTTAGGCCATGATTTTCCAACAAAATTTATATTTTTCTTCCATGTGAATTTTGGACCAAGTGATCATTGGAAAGAGTTTTGACAAAAACAAAATATAAGTTTTTAATAATATTTTAAAAAAATTTGAATTATATAAAACAAATTAAATAACTTCGATTTATCTTTAATTCTACCAAGTTTTTTTGAAATATTCTATTAAGATAATTTTTATTTAGTTCGAATTAGTTTAAATAAATTAAACTTATATTAAAATTTATAGATAATTTGACTATATATTTAAATAAGAGATTTAGCATTTATTGCTGGTGGTGATATCACCGGGTTTAAAATTTTTTAAAGTTAGGGTTAGAAATTAGAGAATTATTGTTTTTTTTATATAGTATATATAACTACTATAAGAGCCCGATAGGGCCTAATTTTAGTTTTTGTGAGGTTTTTGGGGGTCCTGAACATTTTTACTTAGAGAACCCGATCCCGTTTACTTAGTACGTTTTTAAGATATAGCAACACCAGTAATATCGCCGGTAGTGATAAATAGCAAAATCCTTTAAATAAAATAAATATATCACAAGATAGCATTATTTGTTAAACTTATTGTTTTTCTAAAAATTTTATTAAAATCTTTTAATAGATTTCAATTAATAGGTAATTCACCAGTCACCTGGACAAAAAATTTTTTTTTATATATAAATTTTATTATGAGTGCGAAAGCATAGCGTCCCTATCTAAAACTTTTTTTATACTAAATAAATCACTCTTCGGCTTCTAACAAAAGTTGTAGAGCTCATTAAAATGTATTTAATACTAAACAAATATTAAAATTGGCCTAGTAGTTCTTGAGAAATCTTTAAAAAACTTCTTTTTCACATATAAAATTTCTTTAAAAAAAATTGATTTTTTTTAAAGAAATTTTATATATGAAAAAGAAGTTTTTTAAAGATTTCCCAAGAACTACCAGGCCAATTTTAATATCTTTTTAGTATTAAATACATTTTTATGATCTTTACAACTTTTGTTAGAAGCCAAAGAGTGATTTACTTAGTATAAAAAAAAGTTTTAGATAGAAACGCTGTGCTTTCGCACTTATAGTAAAATTTATATATAAAAAAAAATTTTTTGTCCAGATGACTAGTAAATTGCCTATTAATCCTAAAAACTATTTCTATCATATATATAAAAGTATACTTAAGTCTTTTAAAATAATTAAGTTTAAAGTACTATATTAAGTGAGAGTTTTTAAAAGTTTTAATTGGTGCTATAAATCAAAATTCAAAATCGCAACTAATTGAAAAGTTGACAACTAATAATTGAAAAATTTTTGGCAACTTTTATTAAAATTGAATAAAAATTGAACAAAATTAAATAAAAATCAAATAATCAAAAAGTTGACAACTAATTGATTGCAAAATTTTCGATGATTTGTAGTACTAACTTTAATATCAGTTAGTTTTTTAGGTCTAATAATTTGATTGTATTAGATTAATATACAAATATTAAAATATTTAACTAAAGTTGATATATTAGATAAGACCAAAAACAGAAAATTATTTAATAAACATTATTTAATAAATCTAAATAAATTAAAATTAAGGCTAGCAACTACTGTTTAAGGATCTATTTAATAGATAATCTTTTAGCAAGTTGAAAGTCAAAAGAGAGGAAAAGAGTTGCTATAGCAGATTGCATCTAAGCACCTCTAAGCAGTCAAATGAGCTTTTATTGAAAAGAAGAAAGGGTTGTTGACATTAGCTAGAAACTTATATATTTAGATTATATATTCTTTATACAATAAAGGCAGGATTGCCAAAAAAAAATAAATAAATAAATTAAAATTATTTTTAATTTATTAAAACAAAACAAAATAAACTGAAATTTTAATTTTATAATATTTCATAATTAATATTATAACTAATTCGAATATTATTCTATCAATTTTATTTGATTTATTTTATATTATTTAAATTATTTCTTTTTTTTTTTTTTTGTATTTAAGCAATTCTGCTTTTATTTATTTTATGAACTACTATACGATTATTATATAAGTAATTACTAAGATAGTGTAATGCTCTATTCTAATAGAAACTTATCAAGTGCACAAAGTACTGCCCAATACAACTTGCTATAACAACTATTAGTCTCACAAAGAGATTCAAAACTTGTTTCAGATTTTGTATTGACAAAGGATACCCCCTCAATCATTTGACCAGTTGTTGTATACCACATCAGGATCTCTTTTTTTCCTTCTAATTCTTCTTTCTTCTCAAAGGGCATGAGACAAAAAAGAAAAATTTTCAAACAGACAGTAATGAAAACAACTAAAAAAAAAGAAAAAAACAAAAAAGAAAAAAGAAATACTGATTGCAAAAAAGAAAAAATATAAAAAGAAATCTAAAACCCTGAAGACACTATTATAGCCTATATGTAGCTAATAAAAATTATATAACAAATACAATATTTGTATATCTCTACTGTAAAGCTATACCTTAATGTTAAATTTACTTTCTAACCTTTCTACCAACTCCGGATAGCTTCGTTACTCATTTTAATTCATATCTCAAGCCAGGTGCTACTATCATCTAAGAAACCGTGTCTTAAGCCACCTGCTGCCATAATTAGAGTTCTCAGGCTAAGTTCTATAAAAAAGTGCCATATTCGTCTGTAAACAAACATGTAGTTGCATTCTGCTAATCTATCCAAATTTGGGAAATAAACAATACTGATTTTTTGAAGGAAGTAAGTCAAATCTCCACTTTTTGTTGAAATTTTTTGAAAGGTCGACAGAAGAATAAGAGAGAGTAAAAAGATACCACTTAACCAAGTAAAAAAAGTGTGGCTTAAAGAGAGTAACAAGATATTTTGTTGTTTCCTAGTGTCTTTAAAGAAGTACAACCTAAGAGCTTTATCAACAAAGAAAAAGGGGTGTCCAAAAAGTCCACTTCTCTACCAAGATTTTTTATACAAAAGCACCTCTTGCTAGTTATTTTGTATAATAATGCTCTTGGCTTGCATGCTGAATATCATCTGTAAAGGAGTTCCACAGCAGTATGTTGACTTCTAGACAAACCACTACATTAGGCCATGACTCTTCAACAAAATTTGTGTTTTTTTTTAGTAAGAATTTTGGACTGAGTAATTGTCAGAAAGAGTTGTATTTTGATTTAAATTATTTCAGACTAATTCAAATTTATTTAAATTATTCTAATATTTTTTGATTTATATTAAAATAAATTTAGTTATAATCTAATTTAAATTTCTAAAATATTAAATATTTTTTAATAATATACACTTTTTATTGTTGATAGTTTTATTTATTTTTATTTATTCTAATCAATTTTGAATTAATGCAAATTAATTTACTAAATGTAATTTTGTCATAAAATTTTAAAATTTTTTACACTATATTTCATAATATCTTACGTAATATTTTGTAATTTAATATTTCGCAAAGTTTCAAAATATCTTACGTTATATTACACCTTTTTTACAGATTATAATTTATTATAAATATTATACCCTATTAAATTTGCTAATATAGGTTACTGTACTACTTTGTAATAACTTAACTATTCAAACATAATAAAGTATAGTAGTTAGGGCGGTGTCATTTATCACCTGATTTTTTTTTATTAGAGGCTTACCCCCTTCTAGTTTTTAATATATAAATTATCAGGTCTTATATATAAAATTTCAATTTTTTTAACCCTCCCCAGAAAATCACCTGATAATTGTCAGCTCTCTTACTGTTGAAAAATATATATATATAACCAATTAATCAAATTTAATTGATTAAATATAACTAATTAATCAAATTTAATTGATTAAATATAACTAATTAACAGCAGGTTCTAGATGATACAGGAGATAAGATGCTTGCATGGAAATAGATCAAAAAATGCAAGAGACAAAAAGCCTCTGGGAAAACATCTATCTGGTTTAGAAAAATAGAGGAAAAAGTACTCACCGATCCAAACAGCAGACAAGTCAAACCAGAGTTTAAGACAAGAACACCTAACTACCTATTCCCGAAAGTAGATAACCTACCAATAAGCTGAGACAAAAGAAAAAAGGAATGGGTGTTTTACAAAGCCGAAGATGGTATCAAAGTAGGGAAGGTTTGGAAGAAAAGAGGGAGAAAAACTGTCCTAATAGAGCACTGGAAGCTCATTACAGACTCTCAAGTAAACCGAACTAAACTCATCAAATGTAAAGGCTGCAATCAAAGCCCAGCAGCAGACGCAAGTTCAGAAGGCCTTTGTGTTAAAAAAGTAAAAAGAAGCAAAGTTTATACAATTTGCTCTAAATTTATAGAAAAGGGCAACTTGCAAGAACAAACAGGGGCTTTGGGCGTACCGTTAAGCTGCTTGACAGGAGCAAACCCACACAACAGAGCATCAACAATTAGTACAGAGGTTATACAAAAATCATATCTAAATAATATTATAATACACCCTTTAGAAATTGAGATAATTAGCCAAGCTTTAGAGGACACACAGGCTACAGTAGAAATTAAAAAAGCTGCAGTACAACTTATAGGAAAAAAACACATTGTTTTTTACACTGACGGCTCCTTGCTAAATCCAACAGAAGAACCCGAGAAAAGAAAAATGGGGCTCGGCTGGGTAGCCTTTGGAGAAGACAGAGCAAAAACCATAAAACAACCACTGGCTAACTTTCATGGTACTATAAAAGATTAGCCGTCATCTACAAGGGCAGAACTTGGTGCTATCTAGACAGCTCTGCTTGTAGCTCCTTGTAAGTCCTTGATAGAAATTCGCACTGATAGCGCAGCAGCAATTCAGACAATTCAGGCAAGCCAAAGCAGAAAGAAAGCTTGTAAGATAGTAAAGAGGAAAAATCTGTGTCTTT